CCTGTCTGGGTGATTTATTGATATCTGTTTTGTCAGAGAAGACTAGAACATTCTGTGCATTTACTATGATTTTATTGAATGCTCCAACCTGCCCATTTCAAGGGCATGCATCTTCCTTGGTAAAGGGCAAGGCAGAGCATTGATGCATTGTCGCTTCTGTCTTTCTTTTCATTCCTTTGTGCATTCCATGAATGCCCTCAGTTTCTTGTTTTTGTTTTGGACATTCTTTGGAGTCTCTTACAAGGTGCCCTTTAATAGATCATAGAATTTCAGAAGTAAAAGAAATGTTAAAAGGTAGTTTGGTCCAAACACCCCATTCTAAAGATGAAAAAAGCTGAAGTTGAAAGAAGTTCTGTGACTTGATCTGACACATTGAATGGCTTCTGTTTCCATTTTGGTTGTGAGTGCTTATTTTTTTGGTATTTCTGCTAATTTGAAATTTTGGATAACATGGCTTTCCTTTTGGACCTTAAAACGCTGTCCTTCTTTTGTAAGTCTCTGTGGTGCTACAAAGAGGCTATCTCATCAGCGCTGTTGCCTGTCCACCTGGCCACTGACTAGCTTGATTCTACTATCCAGGACACAGAGGAGCCTAAGGTAGCAACCCCCTCTGCTCAACCCTGCCCAGTTCAGGAATCTCTCTGCCTTGATATTTGCTGCAGCTTCGGCTTGTCACCACCCTCTCACAGAGAACTTGTTTACTTCTCCACAGATAAAAATTCCTGGTTACAGTGTGTTCCTTTTATAAAAACGGTCTGCTTTCCAAAAGGCTGCTTTCTCAGAGCATTTCACTTTGCCATCTCTATCGGGAGATCTGAGCCATGACATACGCAGGGTTGAAGTGGGATGGGATGAGATGGGAAGCCCTTGCATATCTTCCTGGAGGGTGTGAAGCCAGCCGGCTTCTTTTGACTCACCATCCTGCTGTCTTATTTTTACAGCAAAAGGGAGGTACACGCCATCCTCCTTGTTTTCAGCCTTCGTTTTGAGCACTGCACACCCATGAGTACTGCCAGGGGTCTTTCTGTTCCCATCCAGACCACGTGGCTATTTCCACTCCCATGATGTCCACAGCAGCCTTTATCAGCCACCTCGGCACTGGAGCAGGGGCCTCCTGCTTTCTTGTTCGGTCTCCCATCTAGTCCGTCTGTGCTAGGGCGGCGAGTACCATGGGAATAAAAATTGTACATGCCGTCCCCTTCCTCAAGGCTGTGGTTCCTGGCACCCCCCTAGTTTCATGCAGAGTATCTGAAGGCAAGGTCAACATCCTCTTGGCACATAGCAAGACCTCAGTGAGCCTGTGTTCGGTGCTCATCATTGGATGTATTCCAGCAGGGTCTCTGCCTCCACGGTGGCCCCCTGGAATGGGTTTATTGTTCATCCAACAGCCAGAGAGGATGCCAAAAAATGCACATCCAGTCATGCCACTGCTCTGCCCAATGCCTTCCTCCCACACACAATGGCTCCCCCATCATATTACCCTGCAATAGAATGAATTCCTGTCCCCATTTTCATGACACTCGATAACTGGTACTCTGCACAGCCTCACCGTGGCCCTGGTGTATTTCCCGCCCCTTGATTTGACTTGGTCACGTCATGTGCTTTGTCCTTGGGCGGCAGTGGCCCTGACTCCAGCAGGTGCTCGTCATGAGCCTGTGCAGTTGGACTTACGCTCCTCATGTCTGCTATTGCCAGGACAAGAACAAGAGCAGTTGCCCCTGCCTTTTGCAGCTTGGGTCCCAGAATGAAACACGTGGAGGAGGCCTGTCCGGGCTGAGCTGCTGATGTGCAGTGAGACGCTTGCTGCTGTGTGCCACTGAACATCTGTCGTTGCCACGTAGCAAGAGCTGATTGACGCAGAATCCAAAGCCCTACCTCGTGGTCCTGGGTATCCTCTCTGATGACATTTTCGTACACTCTCGCCCTCATGGATTGCGCTCCAGCAGTGTGTTCCTGCCCCAGGGTTTTGCCCTTGCTGTGTCCTCCACTTATAATTTTATTTTCTTCAACTACCTGATCAGAGCTCTGGTAGTGATAACTGTGGTGAAGCAGGGTAAGGGGCTAGTGAGTCCCAGCAGGGGCAGGAGGAGGCTGTTTTAGATGGAGGGGTCTGAGGAGGGGACATCTGAGCAGAGAACTCAAAGGGTGAGGGAGCGAGGGAGCAAACCACACGTATCAGTGGGGGCAGGGCTCCCGGGCGTGTTCCATGCAAACACTGTCTTCCAAGTACTCTACGGTTTTCTTCCTGCATTTGTGGCTTTATACAAGCTCCTCTTGGAGCTTGTATGTAATGGACCTGGAAAGTCCTTTCCTAACCACATCCTTCTCATTCTGAATTGAAGGATGTGGGTACCTACCCACATCCTTCTCATTCTGAATTGAAGCCAATCCCTTCCAGGTCCCTTGGCTTCCTAGGAGATTGATGTCTGCCCCTGCTGGCCTATGTTCCTAGGGTGCCCTGGCAGCTCTCCGGTTATTTGTTGGGGACAACCATCTTGAGCTCATAGCCAGATAAGAATAAAGAAGTTAGACTGGGAAAAATGATATTTAGGAAGAGTTTTAAAACTTATTCACTCTACCATTTTTCTAAATATTCTGAACCTTCTTCTGGGTGCAACCAGGTTGGTAGGGAGCTGATTACCTGGGTGTCATAGTGGTCTCCAATGTATTGCTGGAGTTGAGTGCCAATGCCCCATATTATTATTATTCAGAGACAGAGTCTTGCTCTGTCACCCAGGCTGCAGTGCAGTGGCTTGCTCATAGCTCACTGCAGCCTTGAACTCCTGGGTTCAATTGATCCTTTCATCTCAGTCTCCCAAGTATCTAGGACTACAGGCAGGCACCACCACACCCAGCTAATTTTTATTTTTATTTTGTGGAGATGGAGTCTCACTACGTTGTCCAGCTGGTCTCGAACTTCTGACCTCAAGCAATCCTCCTGACTCAACTTCTGAAAGTGCTGGGATTATAGGTGTGAGCTACCTTGGCCAGCCTTCCCAGTATAATTACACCTCTGGCCAGTACTGAGAGTTTGTATAAGACAGCCTAGTGAAATATCACATGGTCTAGAGCCTGGCTATCCAAGTGTGGTCTGACAACCTGTAGCATCGCAGCATCACCAACACCAAGGAGCTTGTGAAACATGCAAAATTGACTGGGCGCAGTGGCTCATCCCTGTAATCCCAGCACTTTGGGGGGCCAAGGCAAGTGGATCACCTGAGCTCAGGAGTTTGAGATTAGCCTGGCCAACATGATGAAACCCCATCTCTAATAAAAATACCAAAAAATTAGCTGGGCATGGTGGCGGGCACCTGTAGTTCCAGCTACTTCGGAGGCTGAGGCAGGAGAATCACCTGAACCTGGGAGGTGGAGGTTGTGGTGAGCCAAGATTGTACCACTGCACTCCAGCCTGAGCAACGAGAATGAAACTCAGTCTCAAAAAGAAAGAAAATGAAAAGAAAGAAAGAAACATGCAAAATCTCAAGCCCTATTTCAGACTTTTAGAACCAGATTCTCCAGTGTTCACAGCAAAATCTGAGAACTGATCAGTTCCTCATTTATGACATTGCTTGGTGTCCTCTTGGTTAGAACTTCATAGGTAAATTTTTGTTTTGTTAGTCTCAAGGCAAATTGCTCTTCAGAGCATTTTATTTGCTTTGTTGCTCTTATGGACATTGCAAATTGTGTAGTTTCTCTTTTCCAGTTGGCTGCTAAATTTACACTGTCTTCTACACTTCTTAGTGTAGTGTTTTGTATGGACCAGAAGAAAAATATTTGATGCATAAACAAAAAGAATCCATGCCCTATATTATTAAATATAGAAGACTCCTAAAGTCCTCAAATGGGGTGGTATAGTTGTTTCAGTGGCATCAGGTACCAGAGAAATTGAGAAGGCTTTTGCTTACCAGCAGGCCTGAGGACACAGCCCCCAGGCAGCACTGGTGCTGACTGAGGAAGAGGAGCAATGGCTTCAGTTCTTGGGGACCGAGGAAGAAGCCCAAAGCTCTCAGTGACTGGCTCTAACACACCTAGAAGCTCTGCACATTATACACTGACCCTGTGAACTGCCTCCACATGCCAGGTGGGACTTCTGTACAATCAGCTGGATAATGATGACATAGAGCCATGCGCAATGGGTGGGTCAAATGGACCTGCCCAGTTCCTGGAGCTGGGGCTGTGGCCATGTCTCCCTTTCTCCTTTATGCCATGAGGGGCCTTTGGACTGCCAGGCACTGGAACGCCTTTGCTACTTTCTAGAAGGGAGAATATTCCAGACCCCACTTCTCCTCCCAATCCATGGCCTCCCTCAGTGCTGTCGCACCTTTTCTGTGCATGGTTCCTGTGGGAGAAGTGAGGTAAGGTAAGCCAAGCTGACTTGAGACTCTATTCAGCTCCTGTTGCTGCAGCAAGAGGGAAGTGACAGGCCGTTGCTCCCCGTCCTGTTTGCAGGTATCAGCACCTTTCTGAGGAGGCTGAAGATGTGCGGCTGGTGGCCTTCTGCCCCTATCTCTCAGAGGTTTGGAGGAGAGAGGTTTGGCTGAACAAGGCATGATTGGCAGGCCTGTGCCAGCTTCCTCCTGCCCTTCAAACAGTGGTACCTCTAAAGTGCCGATAAAGTCACTTACCTGTCTACTGGGTTTTTTGGACCAGGCAGAGTCACACCCATAGAAATCACAATTAGCAAATATATATGTGTGTTTGTGTGCAGACACACAGATATGTGTATATTAATTATGTGTGTTTATATGTATGTATGTATATATTCCCCCAGTCCAAGAACTAAACTCCCTGAATAGCACACCAAAACACTGCTTTTCAGTAATTTTTATGTAACAAATTAGAGAGTTGTCTGAAGTCAGGGAGTGCTGTAATTTGGAAGCTAGCCCTTCATGTCAACATGGCCCTGGGGATTAATCAGCAGGTGCAGATAACTCGGCCCCTTCCAGGGTTTGGCAATCAATGGTAAAAACGGACAAACACAGACACGTACTTCAACTTACCCCATCAGGAACACCGCATAGCCTCCTGGCCTCAGAGGCGAGCACCTGGAAGCCACTTCTTGTTGTCTTCCCACATCTGAAAGCTAAGAGTGACACTATGGAATCTGTAGCAGAACCAAGCCACACGGTCCAGTTTGGGCCACTGATGGAGTCTGTACAAAATGAGATCCGATATTCCTTGTCAAGGAGTAGTTACTCTGGGACAGCCTTGGCTGCTCTGCCCACTTCATCCATTACGAGCTATTCCCAGATTTCCTTCCTCAGAGGCGGCTGCAAATTTGGAGTGCACAGATGTACACTCACATCTTAGATTACTTTTGCCAGTGCACATTACCTTATGTTTATTTGAGTTAAGTTTCATCTGCCTTCAGGCTGCTCAATCCCCCCAAGTGTTTGAATGCATCTGGAGTTTCCTGCAAATCTCCTTAGTTTTTATTAGCAAAAACAATTTGGAGCCAGTTGAAATCTCTGGGAAGACATTAAAGGACAATTATGTGACAATTGCTCGTGTAATCTGTGACCAGGTAGCCCAGGGAGGGACTGTGGGTTGTAAGCAGGATAGCACTTCTTTCAGCGTGTGCCTCTCCTGATCTCACAGCCCTGGAGAGGTGCCAGGGAGTCCCACATGGTGTTTGTTTCTGCAAGTGGAAATGCAGATGTCTGTGCTTCAACCAGAGCTTGGAAGCCACCTTTTGGGGGTGTGACGGGGAGGCATGTTACATAAGATCCATTCTGTCTGAGTGAATTGGTTATGGGAGAGAGAAGAGGAAGCAGAACAAGAGCGGGTGGGAAGCAAGTGAGTGAGAAGGAAGCTTGTGCAGCAGCCTGTTCAGATGTGTGGAAATACAAGTTTAATCAAGGACAGAAGGGAGAATAGGAGTGTGGCACTATGGACTAGCCTAGGAAGGCATAGTGGTCAATTTTGGCATATCCTGGAAGCTGGAAGAGAGGGGCTTGGACAGGAATGGAAGGAGTTGCCCTCAAGACCCAGAAAAAGACGGCAAGGAGCAGCCCAAACTGACAGGAGGAGAGAAAGCAAAAGGAGTTGTTTGCAAGAACCAGATCTCTTGGAGCCTGGCTAGTGCGAGGCTCTTGTGTGTGGGCAGTGTCTGAGCGGATCCGAGTGTTTCAACGAGCTAAACTAGTCAGCTTCAAGCTGTTCTATAGACAGTGGGTGTGAATCCAAAATCATTTCAGACATTCAGCTTTATAATGTTTCTTTTAAGAAAAAAAAAAAAAAAACCATGCAAGAAGCACCAGACCCAAATGATTCCTTTTTCTCTTGGCCAGTTACCTGTGCAAGTATCAGGCCAGTTGTAAAACACAAATCTGGGTAGGTTAGAAAGGCAAGTTGCAGATGCCTCTTCCCTTACAGCAGCATTCATGGGAGAGCTTCTTTCTCTCTCTCTGCCTCAAGGATACTCACCATTCTTCGATTCCATTTTTAGAAACAGGCTGGCAGCACACAATCTCCAGTCTCCACACAACTCTCCTCTCCTCGGTGGTCCGTTTGTCTCTAAGTCTCGTTGGTTGTTTGCATCTGCCTGAGTAGTTCATGCATGGGAGTCAGACTCGGATGAATGTTCAACAGTCATTGAAGGGAGAGACTGTGACCACTTCCACTGCCTTGCTAATACCCACCACCTCACCCTCCAATCTGCTTCACTTTGGTCTTGCTTCAAATTCCTGTGGCTGCAAGGAAGACCTACTGTTAAAAATGAGGAGCTAAGACTATGAGTGTTTGGGGGAATCGAGTGTAGAGCTGCAGCCTGGGATAACCTTGGCAAGCACTGTGACCACCCAGATGGGGAAGCAGTGGACCAGAAGAGAGCCTCAGGCCCCAAGCATGCCTGATTCATGGAGTTCTTTCTCCCCCACCGAGTGGTTGTGTTAGTTTGATAAAGCTGTTGTAACAAAATACCACAGATTGGGTGGTTTAAATAACAGGAATTTGTTTTCTCACAGTTCTGAAGACTAGAGCCTGAGATCAAAGCGTTGGCAGGGTTGGTTTCTTCTGGGGGCTGTGAGGGAAGCGTCTGTTCCAGGGCTCTCTCCTTGGCTTCTGGGTGACCATCGTCCCTCTGCTTCTTCTCATGGTCGCTCTTCTGTACCTTTTTGTGTCCAAACTCCCTCTTCTTAAAGGAACACCAGATGTATTGGATGAGGGCCCAGCCCAATGACCTCATTTAATATTAATTACCTCTTTAAAGACCCTGTCCCCAAATACGGTCATGTTCAGATGTACTGAGGGTTGAGACTTCACATATGAATTTTGTGAGTGGACACAATTCAGCCTCTACCAGTGGTCAAAAAAGGTTTTCTTTCCTAAGTCTAGCTATAAAGAACACCCACTTGGAGAAGCAAAACAGCCTAAGATAGTTCAAAAGGACACACTCTGACTCCTCATCCTCTCATAGTTCATTGTTGGCTGAGCCAGAGTCCAATTTCCTTTGCTTCAGTGAGTGGATGCACAGTGTGAGGAGAAATGGGGGCCCTCTAATGCCCTAAGGCTTTGCTGGATTCCTGATCAAGCCACCAGGGATGCCCCAGGAGTGTTGGCAATGGAACCACCCAGGGGCTTGGCATTGTGGGCGTCAACCTGATTAAACCTGGCCTAAGTGCTGCACCCAAGTCATGTCAGAGGTGGATCAGGTTTTTGTTCATTCAGGTAAAATAACAGGCAGTGTGCAATAGGGGACTATTTCAGAGAATAGGGTCCTTTTCAAATGTTGCACAGATTGAGCTGGGTAGTGCATTCCACATAAGTGAGGGGATGTGGATGAATAACCTGGACTCAGGCAGTAGGCCTAGATTGGGGAAGGAAATTATGCTTGAGCCCCTCTGGCTTAGTCACCTGGCACCATGAGGTATCCTCAGGGAATGATAGTGAATGTCACCCGGAAGAGGGAATGCTCAGAACTGTGCCCCTGGAGCCCAGGCCATTTTGGTGGGAGCACTGCCCCCTTGCTGATACAGGTTGATGGAAGCAGAATCTGTGTGGATCACCTGTGCTCCAGCAAAGCCCTCAGCAGCACTTCACTTGGCCATAGGGCCCAGGGGCTGACCATAACCTATGGTGGCAGAGTCTAGCCTGGAGGGTGTCTGAGCTCCTAGAGGGTGACAGTAGGTAAGTGGCAAGGGGAACTGATTTATGAGTTAGTGAAGGTGATCCTTTGGGATCCCTGGGAGGGAAAATCCAGGTAAAGACAGATCATACACCCTACCTGGTGAGGTAGGGATTTTGGCCAACTCAATTTGGATTTAATATGGAAATATGGCCTCATTTTGAAATGTCAGGCTGGGGAGGTTTGGACAATACAGATTATATAGATAAAGAGGATGAGAGCTTAACAGTTAGACAGGGGGCAAGCATTGTATAAAGAGGGTACAACATGTGTAAAAGCACAGAAGAGCGAAAATGTTGGCCATATTTGGGGAATCTCAAGTTCAAACTTAATTTTAACTACAAACTATATAACATTTTATATCACTTAACAGTTTACCAAAGTTTTTTACATAGTTTTCTTATTATGTCTTCACAATGACCCTGTGAGATATTTTATTAACATTTGATGGTAGAAGACACTGAGGCTCAGAGATGTTAAGTAACTTGTCAAACTCAAAGAGTTAATAAGTGATAGGCTTAGGTTTCTAACCAGGGTGTCTAACTTCAGACCTCATGTTTTGTTTGTTTGTTTGTTTGTTTGAGACGGAGTCTTGCTCTGTCACCCAGGTTGGAGTGCAGTAGCATGATCATGGCTCACTGTAACCTCGACCTCTCAGGTTCAAGCAATTCTCCTGCCTCAGCCTCCCAAATAGCTGGGACTACAGGTGTGTTCTACTAAGCCCAGCTAATTTTTGTATTTTTAATAGAGATGGGGTTTCACTATGTTGGCCAGGCTGGGCTCAAACTCCTGACCTCAAGTGATCCACCCCTCTTGGCCTCCCAAGGTGCTGGGATTACAGGCATGAGCCACCGTGTCCATACCTCACATTCTTGACCTGACTATGCTACGAGGCTCCTGGGCATTGCTGAACGGGGAAGGGATGGGACTTGACAGTGAACCACCTAAACAGGGGATGAGTATTTTTTTTCTTTGAAATTGCTTGGAATTGCCAGTTGCATGATTATAATACAAAGCAGACCAATTTGTAGTTGGTTCTATCATTGTTTGTCAAGTCTCCATAAATAATTCATCCCTAATTCAGGCTGTGATTGCCTGCAGCCAGGGCAAACCTCTCCCTCCACCTTCCTGGGTATCTCATTGCAATGATTCTTACTGTTGGGTTCCTGACTGCCCTGGGCAAGGTTCTGTCAATAGACACTCATGTTTCCAGGCAGTGGCTACCCAGAGCCCCAAGGAGAAACAATTGGTAGCTTCTATACGGTTGTCAGGAAGGAAGCCTAGACCTTTTTAGAAATTATGGCACATTGGTGTTGAGCAGCCTGACCCTATTGTAGCCTGGAGAGCCATGTGTTCTCTCCTCTTAGAAGGAAAGCTGGAAGCAGAGAGATCATGGGTATCAACCTGATTAAGCCTGGCAAGAGAAAGGAAACAGGAGATTCTGGCCCTGCCACAGCTTAGGCCAAATATCATCCCAGACAAGCAGACACCTGGAGACTCAGCATGGACAAGCCATCACAGGGAGAGCTAGAGATGGAGGTCCACTCCCTCACTTGAGGGCCATCAACCAGAATTTTAACTTGCATTCAATGTAAGGAAGAAATAGATACACACACCCCACAGTTGGCATTTTCTGCACATATTTGATTAAAACCTGACAGCATTTTCCTAGTGAAGGTACAATTTCTGTGATTAGCCTCCTCCCAGCTCCTTGAAAAAATAATCTTAAAGCAAGATAATTAGTCAGGTAACTGTGTATGTGTGTTTAGCCAGGTGCCACAGAAAGATGTGCAAAATATTTTCCTTGATTCTCAACATGAATTCTATTAGGAAGAACGGTTAGGGCCTGGTATTCCAGTCAGATATAGTACAAGCAAGTTCTTGGTGTCATCTGGAATTTTCTGTCCAGACTCCAAATTTGCAGGTCTTCTCGGCACAATGAAGGTGTACAGGTTCCAAGTAAGTGCTCAGCTCACTGGAGCCATGAGACCAGCTTCGGGGCCATACACATGGCTGTCATAAATGCCTGACACTGGGGGACCAGTTTTTAAATTTCTTTTGGTGTGGAAATATCTTGTTGTTTTTGTAAAAACAATACAAAATCAATGCATGTTCCTTACAAGCCCAAATTCAAACAATACAGCAGTATATAGAATAAACAATAAAAATTCCCTTCAATCCTTACTGCTATAATCTCATTATCCTCCCTATCCATGACCATTGCTGATAGTTTGGGGTGAATCCATCCTGACCTATTTTATGTATTATCACATATGTAACATGCAGACATGGTTTGTGTGTGTGTGTGTGTGTGTGTGTGTGTGTGTGTGTGTGAATGAGATCCTAGTATACTAGATACATTATTCAGTCACTTGCTTTTTTATTGGGGAATTCTCCATGTCAGTACATATAGATCTACCTTATTCCTTTAGTGGATGCATATTATTTAATCATTCTCTTAACATGGATGTTCAGATTATGGAAATTTCATACCAAAGTAGGCCATGCTCCTTTCACCCTTTTATTGATCCCAATCATTAAAAATATTCAAAGAAAAGTCAAAAGACACGGAGATACTGTCTTCTGGCAACTTGAGGAGTGACAAAAGCTACCTGACCCTTCTCTAGGCTCTACCCAAAATCACTACTCTCCTGAAGCTATGAGATTTTAACCTTCATTTCTTTATGCCTTTGTTTCTTCATTCTTTACCACAAGGATCCCCTTTTA